TGCTGCCGAGTCCGGCCTTATTGGCTCAGACGTTTTTCTGAATTCGGCCGATAATAATTACGATTTTGTAAAATTTTATATAACTTTTCTTCTCAGTTTAACCCAATCTACTATAATCTTTGGGATTGTCCATATCGAATCTGACACCCTGTATATATGAAATGACTCGGGAAGACATCCCCAACAACATATTTAAAAATGAAGCAAATCGGAGAGGAGGCCCCTTTTATGCATAATTACCGATTCCTTCGTTCTTTCGAAGTCTTTTGAAGCTTAATTCGAAGCCTCGAAAAAGTAAACAGTCGTATTCAAAACTACAGCGTGCATACCAAATTTCAAAAGTTTTAGGTTTTAGGTTAGGTACTAATATACTAGTTATGAAATTATAAACAGAATTAATACAAAGGAATAATGAACCGGAGAACATAATGACGTCTCCTGTATATTGTTTTTTCTTGTAATAGAACTGAACAGTCTCTCTTTTTTCACCGTTTCGTCGTCGAAAATGACATCTTCGTCATTTACCATGCAATATGACTCGTCTTCGTCGCACTTCAAAAGAAACATTCTTTCATTCAAAACGATCTGAAAAGCACAATCACAGAATCCGTAAGTACTTTCAACGAAAGCAGGTCTAAGTATAACCGGAGATCTTGGCGACATTCGTACCGCGAGATGGACGAGATGCGAGCGCGGAAGCGAAAACGTGGATTCGACCATATGACTTGTGAGTACATGTGAGTGCATGCGAGACGCAGAAAATCGCGCGTTCTGTGCGCCTGCGCAATGGAAGCCTCACGTCCCTGACACTCGACGAAAAACCATCGAAAAACCACTCGTTCATCGGTATCGTTATAGTTGTATACTGTTAGCGATTCTCGCTAGGAGAGTTCGCTGGTACCGCTGCGGATGGAAGCAAGGTGAGAGGACGTAGCGACAAGACTCAAGGAGCGAATGCACGCTTAATTAGAATGGAATATCACGTGATCTAAAGGCTCGGACGAGGTGATTTAAAATGAAATGTCACAGGTTTAATACTTTAACGAATTACATGTGAAAGTCTCGGCAAATGTAAAAGTCTGTAAATGTGAGATCTGAGAAGTCTGTACAAGTCAATTCGGTATGATAAGTCTGTATTCACGTGCACGAGTCGATATTATTGATCGAGGGCCGGCCTGGTGAAGTTGGTGCCCGTGAGCCGTGTCCACGCGCCGCCGGCGTGCGCGGTGCGTGGTGAGTCTGAGCCGCCGTTGATGCTGTACTCGAGCTGGCCGGGATGAGTCGCACTGGTGAGAGATCACTATGTCTTTTCACTGAGTCTATTCTCGAATGAGAGGACAAGAAAGTGAGAAGGTGAGAAGATGAAAAAGTCCACAA